GAGACAAAATACTCATGATTCTTCATGAGACAGCGAATGATGAGAAATGAAGCCAGTATGATGGGTACAGAAGCAGAGTGCCAGTATATGACAGCATCTAAAAGACTCGAAGAAGCATCAACAAGTTGGTCTATATTATACTGAACAATGTTGGCCTTAAACACTCCATAGCCAATGACTTCAAGAAAAGTAACAGTGACTTTTGTGAGCCAAAATGTAACTTTAGAATAATAACAACTATTTAAGATATATCCAGCACCTCCAATGATAAATGATGAAAAGCAGAGTAGCGTTCCGGCCATTATTATCCTTTTTCTAACAATCCACACATCAGACACGAGAGCAAAGAAAGGAAACAAGAGGAAGAAGACATAATAAAGAACACCAAGACCGATCTCAGTGTAGCTCTCTCTGTTGCTTGTTTTCTCTGAGAGGAAACTAGTAAACTCAAAATATCTGAAAAACAGAATGTGAATGTACATGAGGAAATCCCAAGAAAGGACTAAGATGACAGGAAAAGAAGAGCAGGACCATCTCTTGAGAGAGGAGAGGCAGCCAGGACAGACCATGTTTCAAATTGAAATGTGTTTATGATATACACAAGATATAATTTATCCAAATATAAACAGAAACAGATGATCAATATCAACATAATATAACTATTTAAAATTCATGCATGTATAACTATACATACATGTACATGCATTTGCTTACTTAGAGTATCAGAAGCTCGTGCAATCACAAAGAGCTCCTTGTTGCTTTTTTCAATGGCAGGTGTCCTGTATAAATTAATTGATGATGGTAACATTAAATTTTATTATAAGCCATTTACTGTATAGTGGGAAATTTTAGAGGGAATTAAATTTGGCAAATTTGGCATTTTGATAGCCATTTGCCAAAATAAAATCTGCCATTTTGAGCCATTATACGCATGCTCAATGGCACGTGGCCACTAATTCGCCAAATTAAAATCCACCAATAACCAAAATTTAGCAATTCGCCAAATTTTACTCCCTCCAAAATTTCCTGCTATACGGTAGTTTAGGTGAGCCACGAATCATGATGCTTATTAATGCATGGTTTGAAAAATTTATTGGAAACTGTGATTAATAAACGAATCACATTTATAGCCAAAAGAAAATGTTCTTGATTGAAACAATGAGTGTCATTGTTATTATCAGATGTATAATATGCACTGAGAAAACAAGAAAACTTTCACTGATAGTCTGAGTAAACTCAGAATTGCTGCCACGAGTCATCAGAAAAGGTTAAGTATACATGTATTTCCCAATAGAATTGTTTATTTGAGCAAAATTGGTAAAAACTAACTTCCTTACGTTGCCTTGCCAGCTTATTAATGCTGTCTCTAAAAAGTACATATTGAAAATGCATATGGCGGTTTCCAAAAGATCATTCCACTCTTCCCAAACATCAATGTTTTTCTTATATGCCAAACTAATGTTTATATTTTATATGAACATACAGCATACCTTAATAACCTTATATAATGCACATTTAATTAAAGATTATTAATTAAAAATTATTAATTAATAATTAATTTTAATTATGATGAAACTTTAATGTATAACTTACCCAAAAACTTCTTCTCTTCTTTTTTCTGCTATCACTTCTTCCACATCCTTAACATCTGAGTGCTTCCTCCAGTATTTCTTCTTATGTTTGGCTACCTTTTTCTTTGATGACATTGTGTGAACACGTGAATATGGGCGTGGCCTAAAACTTAATTTCAATTTTTTTCACTTGAGACGAATAATTATAAAAGATGCGGTTTTATTAACTTTTAATAACTAGATTAACATCACGTGCTCACTACCGCCCTTTTTCACACTCGACAAAATGGCGAATGAGGTTGTGTAATTAATATTATTTTCTGTTTTTTATTTATTATTAATAGGCTGTTACTCAAGTCCAAGAGATCAGGGACATTACTAAAATTGAGAGAATTGGTAATTCATTATTGTAGTTATTTTATTGCATGCTATAAAATTAATTAATTAATTAATTATTATTGTTATTATTATTTTAATTTATATCAGGTGCTCATTCTCACATACGTGGGCTGGGACTAGACGATGCATTGGAACCAAGACCGGTCTGTTTAAGATGTCAATTCTAAAATAATTACTTTGATTTAAAATATTTCTTTATTCGTCAGATATCGCAAGGTATGGTAGGACAGCAGGCAGCAAGGAGAGCAGCTGGAGTTATATTGGAGATGGTAAAGGTAAGGGAAATATGTACATGCACAGTGAGTATGTGTTT